CCAAAATAAGACCTGTTTTTCCTCTGTTTTCATTTGCCGGAATTTTTTCGCTGCATGCTTTAAAAATTCTTGCTCATCACCACGGTGATCTTTTCTCAGTTCCAAATTCACGGATTTCAACCACAATTCGAATCCTGTTTTCCGATCATTTGTTTCTCTTGGTGGCCTGTTTAAGTACAAAAACATAAAGCACTAAATGATTGAACCGCCCTAGATTTTTACAAAAATTAAGTAAAAGATTGAAATTTACTGCCTAACTAAAAAATTTCATTTATTTTAAATCGGAGAAGTTTAGTATATATGCTTCTTACTAAAATTCTCTGATTTAAAATAAATGAAATTTTAAAACAATATATCTACTTTACTACTTTACACTTCAATAAGCAATATTTCTTTTCTTTTTCAGAAAATACTGCTTTGAATTAGAATTGGTGGAAACGTTTTTTTTGACGCAAGGTGACAACTGTTCTCTAAAAATTTTTATCAGCTTATTCCGGACCATATTACAGGAAATTAATACAACAGAGAGATTTTGTGTCGACAGTGAGATATATCAAATATTCATTTTGTGCATCGTAAATAACCCGTGCCTTGTTTTATGGCAAAACTCATGCTTTGTGCTTTTTTTACCTACCGATCTTTCTTCGACGAATTAGTTCTACACTTCTCAAAAGTGTTCTGTTAGTTCTGCCTAGCAGATCAGAATGGATTTCCTGCAGTTCTAGACTAGTGAATATTACAGCTATAAAAATCAATAACTTACTCCATTTTCACGTAACTCACACGGGAAGTAATGGGAAGTAAAGACTGCTGAAGTGCTCCTTCCTGAAAAAACAAGAAATTACCAAATATCGCAAAAAAAAGAGGATTTCTGGAACGAATAAGTTAAGGTCGCCTCATTATCTGCACTGCAAACGGAGATATTCGAAGAGTTCCATGTAACAGTATTCTGCCAACGGTAAGTACATTGACAAAGCTGCCGGTGGTTTTACCCTCCTGCGCTTATTTTAAGGAGGGAATTAAAGACAGCTTTGAGAATGAATTTCATATCGAAACGAAATAATAAAGAATACAGGGACTAGTAATGTTTTTTCAATAACAAAAAACGGACTAACAACTAAGCCCTATGCAGCTGGTGTATAATCCTCTTTTGCAAAGACAGAGACGGGTCAGGAGGGAATCGAACCACCCATTTTCACTCTACCACCAGTTCTTTGGATTGTGAGGTGCTATCCACTACACTACCGATCCTTGTGCTTCACAACACTGCATTTGCATCCCGTCTAACGCTAATGTCACGAGCAGTGCATACTTCTTCCATCCGTAGCCGGCTTTTCGCAGGAAGTCCACGGCATCTTGTATTACTTTCACGGGGAGAAGCGTTTTTTACAAGCGAGAAGCCGCTACTTATCAATGTACTTGCCAACCCGTGACTTCATAAGAAGTTCGAGCAAAGTCAAAAAAAGTTCAAAAAATCTGGAAAACTCCGAATTTCGCTTATTCTGAAGGAAAGTTAGTACAAATGACAGTATTTTGCCAAGGGAGTAAAAAGTTGAACAAAAGGCAACATGCTAAATCGCAATAAATATTACATAAAGTTAATAAAGTTATACTTTTCAAAGCTAAAAATGCATAATTCTTATGCGTATAAGGGCAAAAAATAAAAAAAAAAACATTACCTTCTTTCTTCTCCTTCGTATTCTTTTCCACTTTCGATTGCCACCTCTTGCACGTCGTCCTCTTCGAGCAAACGACGAATTCGCCGAACTCAATGAATCAAAAAAGCTAATATCACCACCGTCATCGTCATCATCTTCATCATATGAATCTGATCGTTCCCCAGCGTTGCGCTGCAAAAAAAAAAAATCGTAACTGCATTGTTTCGAAAAGATTTTTAAAAGAAATCAAAAGAAAATATTGGCCTTTTTACAGGGGGAAGCCGCCTTTTATGCCATGAGAAGCTTCTGTTGCTTCAACATCAGCGCAGCTCGATATTTCTCCATTCTTTTTCAGTTTTCTTCTTAGTAATTCCCAAGAACAAATACATGGTTCTTTCATTGTCGTTGGTGGCCTTTCCAGTGTTTTTTTTTTACTAATTCTGGGTACCATTCAATAATCCGCACAGCTCAACCGTTGCCTAAGTCCACCTCTTCATCCAGAATAAAACCGCCATACTTTAATGGAAAGATGCAAGAAACCTGAGGACATCTAAAATGCATTATTCTATGGCTTTTAGATTATCGTTTATTTGAAGTAGATAATAGGCTTGTGATTTATAATCTAATTCTTCAACTGTGCAGATGGTAATTTTTCCAGTTGTTTTGACCAATGCTGCATCGCCTGGCGGTCTGCTTGCTGGACATTTGTTTCGTCCTCAAAGGATTTTTGCCAATTTTGAAAGAAATTTGAAAATAAACCTTGAAAGGATTAGAAAACAGCCGCTGTCCCGCAGGTGGTGGGATTGCTAATTCGTTGTACACATACGAATTTGACTCCTCCAACTCTCCATCTTCCGTTTCTTCAACATGTTGCTCCTGAACTACTTCAGTTGCCAAAACATTCGACTTGCGCTTCTGAAACAATATGTTTCACGGGAAGTCAGTAATATTTTTTGAATTAATTAATAGGCCTTCAACCCCTCCTGGTAATATCTGTTGTCAAATGACCTCTACTTTCCTCCTTATGAAAAATAGAAGTTAATAAAAGTGAACTGCCAAAAATGGCCCTTTTTCAACAGCAATCCATTGCTGTAAGAACTTTCGATGACGTGCCCTTCAAAGGATTGCTTGAGAGTCAAATGAAAGGCGCTTCTGTCTCCCTACCATGCAAAGAAGAGGAGGAAGGACGATTTATTACAGGAACAAATGAGTGAATCCGCACGTAGCAAAACAAATCTAGGGGCTGGATTTAAACTCGTTCAGTCCTACGTGGACGAGGAACATCCCCTTAGAATTCCAGCTTTCTAGCTTCCCAGGTTCCTGAGTTAGCAACTTACCCGCCAAAAATTTTGATGGGCCCCACTTAAAAACCACGTGGACAAGAGAGTTCATTTTGGCGTAGAGGCGCGTACATGCGTGTAGATTAAGTTCCCAAAATTTCAACCTTGTAGCTTTTGTAGGTCTAGAGATCAAAAACCGGTGCAGGCGTACACAAACACACACACACACACATATACACAAATACACATTTAACAAAAACACAAACAACCGCTCGACAGTATGCGTTTTTGCACTGCATAGATGCAAAAAAAAAACGCATAAAAAGCAATTATCCGCTGACAAAGCTGTTGGCAGTTTCCTTTTAGGAGGGTCGCCCGGAAATACAATAAAATGGGTGCGATTTCTCGGCATGCACCAATACCAATTTACCATCAAAACAAATGAACGAATCATAGAAAAATTGACTGTCATTGGAGCTCAGCATGAGCGACACTTGCCCCCCGCAGCACTATATTTTCCCGGGTACTTGCCGCACATATTTTACAATTTACCTGTTCAATGGCAGGTGTCTTAAGACGTTTTGGCGCAAGAAAATCAGCATCATTCCTATCAAATTGCATACTTCGTTTTCGCTCAAATTCCTCATGTTGCTGTTGCTGTTGTTGCTGTACAGCATTTGCTCTTCCAATATCTGCCACCTT